AAAAAAAAAAAAAAGAGAATATAATTATTACAAAGGCAATATTGAAATTTTAACTATTATTGGTACACTTACAAAATTCACAACGTAATCCAAAATATCCTTTTGGACATTCACAAGTATCTTTCTGCACACACTTTCCACCATTTAAACATTTCTCTGTGCATATACCTGAAATAAATTGCACTTTGATTAAAAGAAAAGAAAGTTAACTCAAGAATGTTTTCTTAAAGTTTATAGAAAAAATGCTGCATCTCAGACAACTTGGAGTTCGGTTGATGAGCATATCAGCAGCTTCAGGAACAACTAGATCAGGGAAATTGTTAGATTCAATTATAAGGGTAGATCATGCTGGAGAATTAGGAGCTGATAGAATATATGCTGGACAAATGGCTGTTTTAGGTATAAATGTATTGTAAATACATAGCAGACTGTAATTGCTTTTTTGAAGATAAATCCGAATTTAACGTGAGTATATAAGACAGGTAAAACATCTGTTGGCCCTACTATTCAACATATGTGGGATCAAGAAAAGAAACATCGTGCAAAGTTTGAGGAATTAATTAGAAAATATCGTGTAAGACCTACTGTTTTGACACCTGTTTGGAATTGTGCTGGATTTATCCTTGGTGCTGGAACAGCACTCATGGGAGAAAAAGCAGCTATGGCATGCACCGTAGCTGTTGAAACAGTGATCACAGAACATTATAATGATCAACTGCGTGAATTGATGGAAAGTGATGAAAAAGTAGATGAAGAGGTTTTAGAAACAATCAAAAAATTTCGCGATGAAGAACAAGAACATCATGACACAGGCATAGAACATGGCGCAGAACAAGCACCATTTTATCAAGCTTTAACAAATGTTATTAAATTTAGTTGTAAGAGTGCTATATCAATATCCAAAGTTATATAAATTACAGTTAGTTTGTTAGCATGAAAATGTAATATTAACGAAATATTTATAAATATTAGTTTAATTTTAAATAAAATATCTGTTTTATACATATATACTATTTTAATTTAAAAGTACCTCCTTCGCAATATGGTCCTTGAAAACCTGGTGGACACGAACAAACACCAGGAGCTGTACAGTTGCCACCGTTCATACAATTTGGATAACACAGTGCCTTTTTACAATGAGGTGGCCCTAAGTATCCATCCGGACAAGGTCCAGGATTAGGTTCTGCAATGAGAAATATTACATATAAAAAATATTCGATCGATATACAAAAACTGAATACAATAAGTGTAATTTTAAATGTATTTCTTAGTAATGCTATATAAAATCATGCATAGCACTAATATACATCACATTAATTCATGCATAAATTTCATTGTGCCTTTCACCGTTAAGATTACTTTTTACTACACAAATTTCAACAGACAAGCGGAATTATATATTGATGGTCGTTTAAAGAATGCTTATGAACAAACATTTTACGACATCTTTGAGCCAGAATAGAATTCATTCAACAGAAAGAAGTTACTTTATCGATTACGGTGTTCTACGGAACAAAGGCATGGGTATGAAAGTTTCGACAAGCATTATGCACAGTTGAAGCGAGGCAATTTTTATCGATACAAAGATGTACCGATCGAGCAAGAAAACGATCGAAATCATCGTCAATTAACAACATGTATGCTTCTTTCTTTACATCCCTTTTCTCCTCGTTTCTTGAGCAATGAGTTTTTATAATTACGAAGCAATGAAGATTTCGATCGTTTCCTGTTGGAACACGTTAGAGCAAATTGAGCGATGAATTATTGCTGATACAGAACTGTGTGTATGAATGGAGAGATGATGATCGTGGGCGCGATTGACGCACTCACCGCGCACGGTGCATTCTTTTCTCAGATTAAGACGAAGCGGTGTTCCGTTTAAAGGTTTCCCCTTACGTGTTTCAATCATCAGGCCGATGCCCAATTGCGCGATGCCCGAATTATTACCAGAGCATGGTAATAGGACGCTGAATTCTGCGAATTTAACAAACATTATGTATATATATATTTATGCATACACATACTCGTTAGATTTGACAATATTTAATCATAAATAAATTATATTAATATTTAATCATAATAAATAAATAAATTTTATTTTATTAATTTGCGTTAACTTTGATTGAAAAATGTTTCGTAAAGAAAAAAGATATATAAATTACCCTTGGGTCTCTTGGGTACTCTTCCTTGAGTTTTAATCGTAATGTATGGTGTTTTCAAGATCGTCTCGTCGAACGATTTCAATCGATAAAAATTATAGTAATACTTCTTTACACCGGACTTCCATGTGAAATTCACGTACGTTACTTCGCTCGGTATAATCGGTAGTTTGCTTTCGAATTCTGGGTCCAATAGATAAGGCAAGACCCTACCCTCGGTAATTGCGAATATCTCCATTTCAACCCCTAAACGAAACAAAAAGAAAAAAAAAAAAAAGAAAGAAGAAAAAGATAAGATTAATTGTGACGTGTCTGTTTTGTTGAAAAGATATAAAAAAATTTGAAAGAAAGGCAACTTGTTATATGTTTTGAATTATAGAACATAGTCGATACAATTGTACACTTAAATATGAAAGAATCACGTAAAAACTACAAGGGTACATATACGAGTAACGACGACTGAATTTCATGAAATAAAGATACGAGATAAAGAGATAAACAAATTTCCCCGCAATTTGCTAAAATTCGTGGATGAACGAACGTCGCAGCAGCATCCGCGAAATATGGCAACCTCGTCAACGTGATACTTTTTTCAAAAAACTGACTGAACATGCGTTCCCTTCGTCTAATATCGGCACGATGAGAAGACTAAAAAAATGGAATGAAAATATCATGAGAACGAAGTAACAGAGACTAAAGGAAGAGGAAAACGGCAGAGCGGTAACACCGGTGCGACTCACCGCTGAACATTTTGATCTGTTGCTGGTCGATCCATAGGGAGATGTCACCAGTCGGTTTGTGCCCATTGCCGGACCGATGGTGATGTCTCGCGGCCGCCGTGTCCAGGAGCAGAGCGATCGCCGCCGAGGTCAGGGCGGCTGCGGCCCACTGCATAATTAACGACGTGCCGCCAGGTGTTGCACGGTTTATGACTAGCCCCCCTTGTGCCTGTTGTAAATCTATTTCTCCCTTTCTATATCTGCTGTGTGTGTATGTGTGTGC